ATATATACCAAGAGTAAACCCTATTGTAAGCTATGGAGTTTGGGTGATAATGATATGTTGTACGTTCGTCAGTTATAACATGTACCACCATGGTATGAGTGTGTTAGTGGGAGAGGTTTTGAATGTGTGCGGATGGAGTACATGCAAACATTACTTTCCATTCACGATGTGAACCTAAAATTGCTCTAGAGAAACAAAGCTGGTTAACTTTTCTAAAACGAATTGAAGGTCTAGCGAAAAGAAAGAGCATGGCAAATTATAAAACCCAAAAGATACTTGCTGTTAACTTAAGTTGACAATAATGGTCATGGTCTTTGTTTACCTAAGCAATCTTTAGAGTGCTTTTTCGTACTGGCTGTGTACAGATACAATGCCCTGGATATACTTCTGGTTAACAAATTTATTAGGGCTTTATACCTATGTGAAAAGAAAAAACAAATACTGTTACCATAGCCACGCATATTAAATAGAGATATCAATCAGAACAGACGTTTCTGAAGTCAGGCATTACTTTTCCAGTGCATATGTAACTCTTTTGTAAACATTTGTTTCTGCAAAGTTAGATACCACAACATCTGCTTTGCAGCTGCAGGAAACCAGTGAATATGGTCTGCTTCTTATCTTGCAGACTCCTTCTTACAGAAGTTTAAAGGGCTTATGGCTTTTAAGAACAATGTAGACACCCTTCATACACTGGTATGGAACCATCTCTAGGATGGAGTGTTAAGCAAAAACACATAAAGCCCAAGGCTGTGAATATGTCATGCTACCTTTTGGCTAATAAATGGGGAAAACTCGAATGTACATTTGTCTTTGCTGAAAGAAAAGCCATTCAATTGATTATTTGTGAATCATGGAATCGGTGGGAATAAAGCTTCCCACTGCTAATCTTGTCCTATTATTTTGGTTTTGGGCCATATGCATTCATTTCCTATTTTAAAAATTGTAGTTTAAAAAAATCAACTGCATTGCTTTATTCAAAAAATTTTGTTTACATTTATTTCTGAGAGACAGAGTGAGACAGTGCATTACGGAGGGAGGCGCAGAGAGAGGGAGACAGAATCCAAAGCAGGCCCCAGGCTCTGCGCTGTCAGCACAGAGCCCAATGTGAGGCTTGATCCCACAAACTGTGAGATCATGACCTGAGCTCAAGTCAGATGCTCAACCCACTGAGCCACCCAGGCACCCCTCAACTGAACTGCTTTAAAAGACAAGATTTTTTTCAAGATTATTAATCAGTGTTCCATTATATCTTACTGAAATGTCTATAGTGTGTCTGCTTCGTGCTAGACATTTTTTAAAAATTGGGGGATACAGCAGTGAGCAGTGAAAAAACAAAGACCTTTGCCCTCATGGAGCAACATCTAGAGGGGAAAACAAAAGAAAACAATAGTTATAATAAACAAGTAAAGTATCAGAAGTTAATCAGTGATACACACAGAAACATATGTATTTTATTTGTAAATAATTTCAAAATTACAGAAAAGTTTCAAGACTAGCATGAAGAAACTCTGTATACCCTTCAAACAGAAATACCAATTCCCATTTTTGTCACATTCAGTTTATCATTCATCCTTTTTCCCACCCACTATCCATCAATTTATATTTTTTGGAACCATTTGAGAACTTCATCCTTCAGGGGCACCTGGGTGGCTCCGTCGGTTGAGTGCCTGACTTCAGCTTGGGTTATGATCTCACAGTTTGTGGGTTCAAGCCCCATGTCAGGCTCTGTGCTGACAGCTCAGAGCCTGGAGCCTGCTTCACATTCTGTGTCTCCCTGTCTCTGCCCCTCCTCTGCTCATGCTCCGTCTGTCTCTCAAGAATAAATAAACATTAAAAAAAAAAAAAGAAAAGAACTTCATACTTCATGTCTCATATTTGTATTTTCTGAGAACAAAGATATTATCTTACACAACCAGAAGACAATTTCTAACGTCAGAGAATTTAACAGGAGATCAATTAAGGGGTGCCTGGGTGGCTCAGTTGGTTGAGTGTCTGGCTCTTGATTTCGGCTCAGGTCATGGTCTGAGTTGTGGAATTGTGCCCCATATTGGGCTCCACACTGCGTGGAGCCTGATTAAGATTCTACTTCTCTCTCTCCCACCCCTCATCTCTCTCCCCCTCTACCCTGCTCAAGCTTTCTCTCTCTCTAGAAAAAAATTCGATCAATAGATTAATTTGGATCATATTGCATTCATCATATAAAATCCGTTACACATAATATGATCCATCCTAGCAATGGACCAATACCAGGTTTGATCTAGTTAGGCAGAAGTATGGGGTGGGTTTTTTTTTTTTTTTAAGGTTTTTATTTATTTCTAGGAGAGAGAGAGAGAGAC